CACTCGAGCATTGGCCGTAGGAAGCCGTTGCTTCATCAGTTCTCTCTGCGAACGATTCTTTTGAAATCATAGGAGATTCGTCTCATATTCGCCGTCAGAATCGTCGCCTGGCCAGTCACTCTCAACTCCGTCGTCAGCCTCATCAATGGCAGTGCCTTCTTCAGTGTTGTCCCCCACCGACTCCGTGTACCAACCTTCTCAATTGTTGTCATCCTCTTCATTCGAGTTCAACGCGTTTTTATCTGCCACACGAGAAGCGGGAACGGTACTAACAGCTGTGTTGTCAATTGGTGTATCGGCTTTGCCAGCGTCCATGCTGAGGAATCTGTCAACACACCATGTAGTATAAATCAGCGTGAACGTCATCCTACATGTAGCGTATACCTGGCCACACGGCGTGGAGAGATGGATACATTTTCGCGCTGTCGTGGGTCTCCAAGTGATAGGTCACTGCAGCACATAGTATACCGCATCGTCAGTACTACATGCTGTATATACACCATGCTCTCGAACCCGTATTGATCACTGTCAGCACTTGGATTTTGTCGCATACATCGTCCACCTCGTGAACGTAAGGACTCGTAGTCATCGACCTCTTCAGTGTCTTTGACGGCGACTTTGGAGAGTGGTTTTTGCTTTTCTACCGCCCTTGGCTACTTCTCCTGTGGCTGCGCCAATGCTTGTTCACGCGCTTGGCCTCCACGTAGTTCCTCCTCCGCCACATGGTCGCGCTCACTCTTCTTCACTTCTGCCCGAGCGCAACAGCACTCGCTGCACGCGCAAGTGCTCTGCTCTCCTTCTCTTGCTTCTCCTCCCGTCGAACTCAGCAGCCCGACGCTTCGCCATGTTCTTCTTGCCCAACGCTGTTTTCTTCTCGGCCGCCGCCTTATTTTCGGCAGCCACCGCCTTCTTCGCGGCCGCCGTCTCAGCGGACAAGCGTCTAGCCCGCACCTGCTTCGCGTGGGCGATCTAGCTTGCTATTTTCCCTACCGGTGGTCGACGCAGAGGTGGAGCATGCGGGCGAGATGCCGTAGACGTTGTCGTCGCCGGTTCTGGTACGGACGTTGCTTGGCCAGTCGGGGAATTAGGTCCAAAGTCGGCGTACGTATCTCTCTCGCCCCTCAGATACCCTGGTGCTCAACGTTCAGTCTCGCTCTCTCTGCTATGTTCCTCCCCTCCAGCCTTATCAT